CTCTGACTGTCAGTGGGAGGCACAGGCTTGGCTTGCTGCTCACTTTGGGTTCCTTAAACAGTTTAAAGAGGGTACAAGAGAGACTTCCTTACACCCCTTCCACCAGCAGCCCTACTGAGGGTGTCTGTGGTGTCAGGGACAGCTTGAACCACCCTGTGCCAGGCAGGAGCTGCTGCCCTGGGACCAACCTCAGCTGGTCCAGTGTCAACTCTGTGATAACCTTTTTACCATCCTGTTCCCAGACTGGAAGGAATTCCAACAGCAAACCCCATTCCAACAGCAAACCCCATTCCAACAAGCCCAAGGAAGCCCTAGAGAGCTGTTTCAACCTTCCTGGATTTGCAAATCTCTGTTTCAGCGAGAACACGTTGGCACAAATTAGTTTAAAAAAAAAAACAAAAACAAACAACCCAACCCCACCCCCCCCAAAAAAAAAAACCCCAAAGCCCACCCCAAGCCCTCAGCAAGACATACTTTCAGGTACTAAAACTTACTGGCCCTATAATCAGCAGTACCTGTGGCTAACTCCAATGGCAGCCCTTTTTCATTCAGTAGTGAATCAGGGGCAGAGCTGCCCCACATCTTTGAAACACTTCTGGGTTTGCTTTTTTTTTTTTGCTTTTTTTTTGCCTTTTTTTTTTTTTTTGATCCAGAGAAGAGTTACAAAAGTGCTGCAGGTCCAAGTATTTTTATCACTTTACAAAGGAGACAATGATCAAAGCCAACAAAGTCAAGAAAAAAAAATAAAAAATAAAAAATTAGATCTCTCTTTCTCCTCTCCCAGCCTGATCTTGCAAGTCAACGAAGGAATGGGAAAGGGGAAAAGGAAAACTCGCCCATCTCAAGTGCCTGGATTTTTTAGTGCATGGAAAATTCTTGTTACACAGGCGGTGACAGGAGCAATTCCCATGCAGTTGGTTGAAATACAGGTAATTCCAGCCACAAGTCATCCTAACACCTTCATAAGTAGCTCTTGGCATGGCAGTTTTGAGTTGCCAGCAGGGAGTGCAGAGTCCAGTCCAGTGAAGTAAAGATACACCTGCACACAGGTAACACCCTGGCCCCTCACCCCTGACCCAGGATGGTCCACATGCAGGGGGCTAGAACTGTCACTACCCAGTTCAAACAGAACAAAACAAAACAAAACAAAACAAAAAAAAAAGGCAGATTAAAAAATTAAAATGTGCTTTTGATACACGGAATGAAGTCAAATAAATACATTGATTTTTTTTTTTTAAATGTCTAAATACATTTTTTTATATCCTACACCCAAAGCTCTGTACATTTGGTTTGGTTTGTTTTTTTGTGGTTTTTTTTTTTTTTTTTTTTTTTTTTTTTTTTT